TTAGGTGAAAGAGTAATTTGTGTGCTGGGTTTCACTCTGACCAACCAAAATTTTAACAATAATCGGTGTTGTGGATAATTTTACCCTTGATGTGGTACATTTTCCTATCTTATATATATATATGTGTGTGTTTCAGATCAAAATGGAATAAACATACCTTCTTGATAGCCCTATAAAACAAATGGCATCAACGAACCTATCTGCAAAAAGCTTACCGAAGTGACATTAAGTGAGCTCCTATCTCCGATAAGTCCTTCCTCCGGAGTGGCCGGAATGAATGAAATATACAAGAGGTTTATAAATGAAGCTAAGCAGTTTTTCAGGTTGGATTTGAATTTAAGCAATATTGGCCAATATGTACCAAGTACATCTATAAATGAACTTCAGGCTCAGGATGTTCGAAGCAACGATACACGCACCAGATAAATCACTGACCGCTAAAGACTAGCGTCATTTGTTTTGCTTACAAACGACTTACACTCTTTCTAAATGAAATCTTCTTTTATGAGAACGTTCAGACTGAGATTAATCAAAATTTCAAGAACATACTAAGAACATACTCAGACTGAGAGTCAGTTAGGAATGTCTTTGTTTTTCTCTTTTGTGTGTGCGTGAGAAGTATAAATTAATAAAGGAAAAGGAAATGTAAAACCGTGGTCTAACAGGACAATTCACTCACGTCCGAATAAATTTATTGAAATACTTTACCACACAACTTTAAGAAAATGTTAAGAACGGTAGAAAAATAAATGAATAAGAACGTTCAGTCTCAGCTTCAAACTAAGATGTTATTATGACAAGAAAGGGGGGTGTAATTCATTGTCAGCGCTATCCAGTCTCGGAATGATAGTCTTTGAAGATGCACAACATGAAATCGCAAATAAAGCAGTTGACCAGTTTCGCTTTTAACACTTTACGTGTCTTTAATATTCTTTACGCATCTTTACTCACTGCCCTTTACGAACCTTTAACATTCTTTACGCACAATTAATCTTTACGCGCCGTTAATTCTCTTTACGACTCTTTAGTGTTCATCAACGACCCTTACCTTTTCCTTCACACAACCAGTCTTTACGTGCTTTTAATTCTCTTTCTGCATCCGTATTCTGTCTTTCCCACCGGTTCTAAACTTTCTGTTCGCATAAATATGTTTAAACAACCTTTTTTTCACGTGCCTTGAAACTCATGATCAGGGAGTTGTCGTGATGAGACAATTATGTTTTTTTTTCCATAAAATGGACCCTGCAATGACGTGTAGAAGCGTGATGCTCTAATGTTTGTAAAAATAAGAACTTTAAGATCCGACTGTCAATGGTTTTAGCATTGTTTTAGTCCTCAGGACGTTTGATGAAGAGTCCCTGAAGACGAAAATACATGGAAATGAGGCTGCCGCAGATCGGTGGGAGAGTATAACAAGTAATTTAGTATATTAAAGTTCACACGGCAACTAGGTTGACAATCAGACATGGTTTGATGCTACTCTGGTTTACAGATTTATGAATGTAACCGAAGAAGTTACGATTCATGGACCCAACATTTCGACACTCCTTTCTAGTGCCTTCATCAGGGGTTATCTAAACGTTGCAACAAGAGGTCTTTTTGATATGATCACCGATTAGCTGCCTTTTTTTCTGACGA